GTGCCAGAGCCTCCACCGACTCCCCCTCCATGTTCTCAGCTTCTGTCAGAAGAAAGCAAGCTCAGCTGTAACTTCTTCCATGGACCCAACTGCTGGAGACCCTGCTCCCATGGGAGTTATCTGCAGCTGGGTAGAAGTGCCCCCAGGGAGATGAGCAAATCCCAGGAGGGCCCAGGACCTCAGCCCTGGTGGTAGTGCCCTCCCCAGCCCCGGTGCTCAGGAGTTTGTCCATGACATGGGAGAAGAAGGTTGAAGCTCCCTGAGGCTGATACGGGGCTGGTGAGCTTTGAGGAGGAAGGGGAGATGCTGCTGTGACTCTGTATTCATCAGCTTTTGGGGACACCTTGCCTTTAGGCAGCAGCCCAAATGACAGGTGCCATGGTGGCTGCCTTATAGGAACTCATAGGGTCCACAGAGGATGTAGTTGCTCCTGTTCCTTTTCCTTGCCAGAGGACCTGGGTTAACCCAATCCCCACCAGTGGGGCTGTAAGTGCTGCTGCTGCAGCCCTCGCTGCCAGACCGGTTCCAGGTACATCCCTGCTGCTTCCACAGCCAGAAGGAAAGGAGCTATTAAAGACGCTGTTGGCCCAAGAACAAATTAGCCATCAGGAAATTGGGGCTGGAAAGGAGAAAGCGGGCAGATCCAGACCAAGAGCGGAGGCTGGAAGGGCTTTCCCGAGATGAGACTGTAATCATCCCAGCTGCTGCAGAGCTGGCGCCAGAGCCTGCGGGGAATGAGATTGTCCAGGAGGTGCTTGTGAGATGGGAGCTGCTGCGGCGAGATGCCAGGGAGGGACATCAGCCGGGATGGAGGCACTTCAGATTAAAGCTAACAGCCTGTTTGGAGAGGTTGTGCAGGGTCTCCAGCCCCTGGCAGAGGCATGTGGGATGTCCCTAACTTAAAAAGCTCAGAGGTGCTAGTGAGGTGAGCTTCACTTTGGAGCCCTTTTGGGAGGAGGAAGGCACCGAGGACACAGGGTGCTGTTGCAGGGTTTCGGGATCCCCCCAGACCTGAGTTGTGCCTGGCGTGCAGCCTCACAGCTCCCTGTGTGCAGAGCTGCTTATGAATAGGGCTGCACATGGAAATCTGGGGCAAAAAGCCAAAATGAGCAAGTCCTGAGGCGCTGGGAGGAAGAGAAACTCTCTGCTGGAGAGTGCCACAGCGACATCCCCTGCGTGAGCAGGGACATACCATGCACCGGCAGGCAGGGCTGGCATTATGGCAGGACACCTGGGAGGATGCTGCCTCTTTTTTTATGCCTGCTTAGCAAAATATATGAGTTTTTCTGTGGGGACACAGCTCAAGATGGGATAACCTGGCAGTAGTGAATCCCAGTGAAGGAACAGGGGCTGCTGGTGGATCTCCTCTGGGTGACCCTGTGGGAGCAGAGAGGCCCTAAGGGTGTCCGTGCAGATGTTTTGCAGCTTTCAAAATCCAAGAGCTGGGTGTTGTGATGCTGGTTATGCATGGCACATGCTCTGCTGCACCCCTATTCTCAGACCTCAGTGAGGAGACTGAGGCACAGAGCTGCACAGGACCCCTCTCCCATTGCTAGAGCTGATCAGAGGAGGGTTTGACCTCACAGCTTCTTCAAAAAAAAACCCAGGCCTCCCTCTTGCCTTCACTCCACCTCCTGGGAGGCCACTGATTCTCTTTACAGGGCAAACCACACTTTGGGAACTGCAAGCCCAGTGGGCCATAGAGGGCAGGCAGGGGATACTGGGGCTTGCAGGCAGGGTGCTGGTGGCAGGGCACTCTGATCACTGGGTGCCCCATCAGCTCAGCACCCACCAGCATCCATCCTCCATCACAGGGACAGTGCTGCCAGGGCCAGGCAGAGTCCCATCACCCACTGGAACTCTCCTGCTTGCTCCATGGGTGCCAAGGGTGCAGCTCCCAGCCCAGTGTCCCCACTCACCTGCCACCAGGCTGGGTGGGCAGGGCAGTGGTGGGCACCGCTGTGAGCAGGATCTGGCCAACCTGTGCAGCCCCAGCTCCTCAGTGCAGGTGAGAAATGTAGTTTTCTGCTGCAATGGCCAGAAGGAAGCAGATTTTCCCTTTGCAAAGTGCTGCAGGAAATGTAATTCAATCCCAGGAGGATTCAGCAGCAATTTGGGGCACCCTCTGCCTTGTGCCTGTCCCCAGGCTGCCCCGGCTCCACGTGCACAGCCCTGTCCCCAGCACACCCAAGGCTCCCGGGAGGGACAGGTTGCTGCACAGAACTGCTTGTGGGAAGCAAAACCCACCCTGTCCCCAAGCACCCAGAAGCAGGGACATTGTGCACTAGAGCCCCTGACAGGGCTGGCTGTGGTCACCCAGCAGAAAAGACCCTCCTGAGAAGACTAAAGTCCTACAGCCTTCAGCAGAATGACCCACAGGGGACACACAGGGGACACGTGGCTGTCCTGCCCAGGGCAGGGCGGATCAGGGAAGCTGTGGCAGTGCCCTGTCTCCACCAAGCCTTGTTTCCCTGGGCCAGGCTGGCGGCATCTCGCATTGTCCCTGCACCTTCCAGCTTTCCCTGCAGCTTCCCTGGGGATGCGCCAGCACTGGGGGGACACAGGCTGGTCCCTCCCTCTGCACCGGAGGAAGATGCTAGATCTGGATGTGGGGCTGGGATGTTCCTGTGCCGCCTTCCACGCAGCCACCCTGGCTGGCAGGTTGGTCCCCCCGGTCCCCCCTGCCCCCCCAAAGCTCAGCTCTTGCTCTGATCTACATCCAACCGGGGATGGCCATCTCCTGCCAGCCACAACCGGAGCCACAGGGCAGGCATGCCGGGGCTGTGTCCAAGCCCTTGACCCTGTGGAGGGGTGGCAGGAGGGGACACCAGAGGAACAGCCACTTGCAGAGGGGCTGCAGGGGGGTGGCCAAGGCCCACAGGGCTGCGGGCAAGGCTGGGAACAGCCATGGCTTCTGGTGGTCGGGGACATTGTGTCCCCATGCTGGTGTTGGGCCCAGCTCCATCAGCACTGGTGTTCTTGCTGGTGGGAAGCCACGAGCCTGGGGAGCTTGTGGGCAGCGCCGCCCTGCCTGCAGCCCTTCCTGCTGTCCTGGTGGGGCTGATGGTGCCCCAGAGCCCCTCCACAGGCCCAGCAGGTACCTGTGAGTGGGACAAGGCAGCACCAAGGAACCGAAGGAGCGCTGGCAGCTGGTGATGGTGGGGACAGGAACATTGGCTTTGTGATGGTGAGTGGGGCCTGGCCTCTAGGCTGGGTTTTCAGTTGGGATATTCCAAAAACCCTTGCGCAGGAGAAGGACTGAGGGCTGGGGCTCGCACAGGATCTCTCCTGCCTGGTCACAGGTGGAGGCTGCTGAAAATTTACATCTTTCCTCTTGCAGAACTTCTGGTCCCAGGGACTGGCACATGTGCCAGCATCCCTCTCCTTGCCCTTGCGCCAGCCGCGTCCCTCACTCTATCCAGCCTCGTGCGTTTCCAACGGGGTTCTGGAGGTCAGGCTGGGGGTAACCTCCCCAAACCTATCCCGGAAAAGGCTCTGTTGGTGGGCACAGGTACACATCCCAGCCAACATCCCACCACACAGATCCTCCTGACACCCAGGCACATACCAGGTTGCTTGGGTTAAACTGCATGCAGCGCTGGTGCTGGTGCCAGTGGGTGATACTGGTGCCTATATTGGTGTCAGTGCCTGGTCCTGGTGGTGGTGCCAGTGCATGATACCAGTGCCTGCTCTGTGGTGCCTGCTGCACAGCGTGTGGTGTTGGTTCCAGTGCATAATACCAGTACCCATGCTGGTGCTGGTTTCCACTGCCTGGTGCCAGAGCCAGTGCCCAATGGCTGGTACCAGTGGCTAATGCTGGTGCCTGGCACAAGATGCTCGGTACTGGTGGTCTTTCCCAGTGCCCAGTGCCTCTGCCTAGTGCCCAGTTCCCATTGCCCAATGCCCCCTGCCCTTGTCCAGAGCCCAATACCCCTCTCCAGTACTGGTGCCAGTGCCCCCCTGTGCAGTGTCCCCGTCCAGTGCCCAGTGCTCCCTGTCCAGTAACCCTGTTCAGTGCTAGTGCAAGTGCCAGTGCCCAGTGCCTCGTACTGGTGCCCAGTTCCTTGTGCTCCCTGCTTGGTTCCAGTGTCCAGTGTGGGTGCAGGATGGGGCGGGTGGTGGGTGCTGGGTGTCGGGTGGTGGGTGCTGGGAGACGGGGCTGGCCAGGGTGGTGCCAGGCGGTGGGTGCTGGGTGCCAGGCCAGGCGGTGGGTGCCAGGCGGTGGGTGCCAGTTGCTGGGTGGGTGCTGGGTGCCGGGTGGGTGGCAGGTGCCGGGTGGGTGCTGGGTGCTGGGCCAGGGTGGTTGGTACCAGGCGGTGGGGGCCAGGCAGTGGGGGCCAAGGGCCGGGAGCTGGGGCGGTGGGTGCCGGGTGCTGGGTGCTGGATGCCACACCAGGGTGATGGGTGCTGGGCAGTGGGTGCCAGGTACCGGGTGCCGGGTGCCGGGGCGGGCCAGGGCGGTGGGTGCCGGGTGCCCAGCGGCGGGTGCTGGGCAGTGGGTGGCGGGCGGTGGGTGCCGGGGAGGGCCAGGCGGTGGGTGCCGGGCCGTGGGTGCCAGGTGCTGGGTGCCAGGGCGGTGGGTGCCGGGTGCCGGGTGCTGGGGCTGGGCAGGGGTGGTGGGTGCCGGGGTGGTGGGTGCCGGGTGCTGGGTGCTGGAGCGGGCCGGGCGGTGGGTGCTGGGGGCCGGGGGCCGGGCGGTGGGTGCCGGGGGCCGGGGGCCGGGCGGTGGGTGCCGGGGGCCGGGCGGTGGGTGCCGGGCGGTGGGTGCCGGGCCGTGGGTGCCGGGGGCCGGGCGGTGGGTGCCGGGGGCCGGGCGGTGGGTGCCGGGCGGTGGGGGCCGGGGGCCGGGGGCCGGGCGGTGGGTGCCGGGGGCCGGGGGCCGGGCGGTGGGTGCCGGGCGGTGGGTGCCGGGGGCCGGGCGGTGGGTGCCGGGCGGTGGGTGCCGGGGGCCGGGGGCCGGGGCGGGCCGGGGCGGTGCCGGGCCGGGGCGGGCCGTGCAGGAGGAAGCGCAGCCGGCGCAGAGCGGCCCCGCAGCCGGCCGGAGCCCCGCCGTCGGTGAGTGCCGGGAGCGACCCGCTGCCCCCACCCTGCCAGCTCCCCTCGCCCCTTCCCTTACCCCCCTCTGCCTGCCCGGCCCACCCCACGCCCTGCCCGCCCGCCTTCCCCTGCCTGCCCCCCTCCCCCTGTCCCCTCGCCCCGGTTCCCCTTCTTCCCCGCCAGCCTGCCCTGTCCCCTGCCCCTCTACCTACTGTCCCTGTCCTGTCTCATCCTTCCCCTGCCTCTGCCTCTCCTTCCCCGCACACCCCTTTTCTCCCTCCTCCTCTCCGCAGTGCCTGCCTCCCACCTCTGCGACCTGTCTCCCCCAGAAGCTCCTACCTCCCCAGAAGCTCCTACCCCACCCCACTGCTCTACCTGCACCCTATCTCCCATCCAGCACCCCCTCCTGCCCCCCAGCACCCTGCCCACCCCCATGTCTCCCTGTCCAGGCGTCACCCTCTCCTGCCTCCCCTCCCAGCTCTGCCATCAGGGCCACACGGCCAAAGTGTATAGGTTGAATGTCAGAGTCCTCTGAGGCTGACAGGGAGGGGGGAGCACAGCTCTACACCCTGCTCCCAAAGCAGTGAGGTTTGCTGGGGATCCCTTCCCTGTGCTGTAAAAACAAGCCCAGCACTGACACCCCCAGCACCCCAGGTTAACAGGGTCTCTGTCTCACAGGAGGTGGGCAATGCCAGCCGGGCCACGCATGTTGACAAAGAGCAGGGAGATGGATCATGGCGTCAGCCTGGAGAACCCCTATGCCAGTGTCAACATCCCACGGGACCAGTTCCAGCAAAGCTTCATCACTCGTTACCTGAAGGACAAGCCCACGGTCATCGCCAACCCTGCAGCCGTGCCCACCTATGGCGTGAAGGAGCAGCCAGATCCCGCTGGCAGCTGGAACAGCCCAACCATTTCCACAGAGAAGTCCTGGTCCCGTCCCTACAACCCCTATGCCAGCCTGAGGATGACCAACAGGGAGTCGCCTGACTCCTTCTACACCGTCACCTTGGACAGGCCACCCCAGGGCCAAGAGTGGGAGGCTGGCAGGCGATGCGGCTGCTGCAAGTGCTGCCCCTGCTGCAGAAAGTGCTCCTGTGTCATCTCCTAAGGTCCCCTGCTGCACCCGTGGGCTGTGCTGACCATGGGACAGGGCCAGGTGGCCCCGTGGGATCGTGGCTGCCTGGCCTGGGCACCCCAGGGAGCTGCCCCCGTGCCCGGCAGAGCTGGCAGCTGGGAGGTGGCACTGGCTGGACTCTGCTGTTGCTATTCACCCATGAGCTCTGCAGCCAGGTATGCCAGTGATGGGCACCAGCCAGGTCCTGAGAGCCCAGTGTGGGGTGTGGGGGAGACAGCCAGGTCCCCCCTGCCCTGCCGAGCCCCAGGAGCCTTGAGGAGGATGTGTGCCAATGCAGATGCCACTGAGAAGTGCCTGTACTGGGGATGGGGCAGCACTTTGAGCCTGCAATCCTGTACGAGCCCTTGCTGGGAACTGGGAAACCTGCAACTCTGGGGAAGGTGCAGGCACTGCCCACCTGCCAGAATGTGGGTTTGGCCAAGGGCAGCCCTGGGTGCGTGGCAGAGGAGGGCAGCGGTGTCACTGTCTTGGAGCAGTGGAGAGGAGCCAGGGACCTCAGCCAGGATGGGGACCCACCTCCCCAGAACTGAGCGGTCCTCCCACCCACAGCATCATAGGGATGGTGCAGCACCCCGTGCCAAGCTCTGTCTGGGTACCGCTCCTCCTCACCATACAGCTGATGGGACAGAGGGAAGGGGACAGGGAGGACAGACAGACCAAGTGTGGCAGAGGCCCCAGGGCAGCACATTAATGTCACAGTGCCAGGAAACCCCCAGCCCCATTTGGTTCCTCCTGCCAAGCTTGCAGGGTGCTGGGAACAACCTCCTGCATCCTGGCTTGAGGCTCCACACTGTTTTGGGGCTGGCTGCAGTGTGGAGGGCTGGCCCAGCTCCAGCAGCGGGGGAGCACTGGGGCACCCCGTTTGGGATGCAGATCCCCATCGTTCGTCTTCTGCAACCCCCTGGGCATCGAGGAAGGTGAGCGAGGAGCCCGCTGGCCTCTTCGCAGCGTGCTGGGGTGGCTCTAGGCTGGGGTTTCGGCTGGGACTGGCGCCGCCGACCTGGAACAAGCCTGTCGTTGTGTTGGCGTCCCACGGGTGGCCGTGCTGCCAGGCGGCAGCTGCGTAAGCACCGGGGCTGCTGCAGGAACTGCCTGGTCTGCAGGGACAGGGGCTTGGAAAGAGTGCCTGTGTTAGTAGATGACTTCAGGGTGCTGCAAATAAAATTACAGCCATCTCCTCCCCTGCCAAGGTACGCCTCTTCCCTCCACCCTGGGTTTTCCGGGATTCCCATGTTACTTCTTGCTTATCCTGGCAGGTTACGTAAGGGCAGCGCAGGGGGCACACAGCCCTCTTCTTTCCCCTCAAAACCAGTCTTAACTGTTGCACTGCTGACTTGCAGCAGCAGCGGTGGTGCACTGAGCTCTTCAGCTCGCTGGTGCCCTGCTGCTGCCAGCCCGGGGCCCAACACTCCTCTCCCCCCAGGTGTTTCCAGTACAGCCTGCTCCTCCCTGCCTGGGGACACTGGCTGGTGCTCAGCCCAACCCTGCCAAGCTGGATGGCTGTGCTGTCTTTTGGAAAGAGAAAGCCTGGCTTGTTGGGGTGGGGGGGGGAGGGAGGGGCTGGGGAAAGGGTAGGTTCCTGACTGGGCCAGCTGGGTGGGCTTTGTGGCACTGCCCTGGCTGGCTGCAACCCCCTGGGAGCCCACCAGCACTGGGAGCCCACCACTGCTTGGAGCTCACCACCACTGACATCCCACCGCTCCTGGGAGTTTCTGGGCTGGGGTGGCAGTGGCTTGGCAGAGGTGCAGGGTGGAGCCCAGCCAGTTTGTCCCCATGGTCCTGCCCCACACCCGGTGGGTGGCCAGGGGGTGTGAGGCTTGCAGGAGGAGGTTGGCAGGGACACAAACCCATGCCGCCCACCCTGCACAAGGAGTGCTCTTGTTCGCTCTGCCTGGACTGTGGGCAGTGCTGGCGTGGGCACGGGCAGACCAACCCTTTGTTTGCTTTCGTGGCCCCAGCGCCAGCCCTGCCGCAGAGCCCACCCGCTGCGTGGCTGGGCAGGGATGTGGCATCACCACGCTGGCTTGGCTGAAACCCACATTCCACAGAGGCTGCTCAGTGCTGACATGCTTTTTGGGGACAAACACGGTTTGGGGAGGTAAAATTGTCACCATGAGGTGTGTGGCACCATTGGCAGAACCCTGGGGGCTCGCATCAGCAGAGGGTGAGGGATGTGCTGGCCTGGCCTGGGCAGGGCACTGGCAGGGTACAGCATCTGCCAGCAGTGCCATGTGTCACCGCTGCCCTTCGCTCTGCCTAACCTTGGAGCAACAGCAAACAAGCTGGGAGAGGCCAGACAGAGCTCTGCCTGCCAGACACCAGGGCAATGATTAAGCTGGAGGCAGCAGGAAGGCTGGGGGTGTGAGCAGGGGAGGGCACAGGATGATGCTCCAGACCTCAGCAGGGCTCTGGGTGGCACAGGCAGCTGCATGCAGGGTCCCTTGGATGTTCCCTGGATGTGTTTCATCTTTGAAGGGTGCTCAGAGGTGCAGAGGGTTGTGTTGGGTGATTGCCACCTTCTGTGTCTGGAGTGTAGGTAGTAATGCATTGCTCTGGCTCATCTGGATCAGACCTTTGCACTCCCCCGAGGGTGCCGCTCCCTGCCCTGCTGTGACAAAGGTCCCCGCAGCTCTCCAGATGAGTCCTGGGAACAGAAAAAGACACTTCCCACCCATGTGTTTCGCTGCCAATTGCAGATATGCCTTCCACGGGCCCAGGTTCTGGTGTTTCGGTGGGGCTCAGGAAGCCCAGCTGGGGCTAAAGGCTGGTTTCAGGCAGCGTGCCCCTTGGTTTCACCCTGCGCAGCTTGGAGAATGTCCAGCCCATGTCACCCAAGGGCTGCCCCCACCCCAATCCCTGCCTGTGGGATGCAGGGTGGGTGAGCTGGAGAGCACAGCCCCACACCAGGGGCTTGTGTGCACCGGGGAGATGTGGGCAAGGACAGCCGGGCACAGCCCCTTGACAGGACATGGCTCTGCTGGCATCTGGGGAGGGGACATGAGGGCTGATGGGCAGGGGCTGGGGAAGGAGGGCGGGCAGGGTGGCCTGCGGGTCCCTGGGCACACGGTCTTGGAGGGAGCACGCTGTGCCCATTTGGGGAGTCAGCTCTGCCCTGGCTGCCGGCATCTGGGGTGCTGCCACCCAACCCGCAGGCACGTAGGGTGGTACCCTGAGCTGCCAGGGCACAGCGGGAATCCCACGTGGCTGGTTCCTCATCCATCCAGGGCACGTAGCCCTTGCTCCCACCTCAGCCAGTGGGTTTGGCCAAAACTGAGGTCCCTGGCCCAACCTTGCCCCAAGTCAGCTGCCCTGCCATCCTTTGCCTGCTACCAGCCTGGCAAAGGGAGGGCAAAGCCCTACACCGTGGGGTGCCATCCCTGTTCCTGCGGACCCATGGGCACACGCAGTCCATGTGCACTGCCTGGGGAAATCGGTGACAAGGGGATGTATTGGGATCCTGTGTCAGGATATGGCCACTGCACCCCAAAAGTTCTGTGCTGCCTTGCTCCCAAGCGCTAGCATCAAAGGGTCAAGTTTTTCTGCAGAGCTCCATGACCCTCTGAGGCTCTTGTTCTCTAAAGCTCCTAATTCCTGCTCCTGAGGAGTCCTGGAAACACGGCCCAAGGACAGCCGAAATGTTTGGTAGGCAAGCAGCACGGGAGAGTACTGCCTGACTCCCTTGTCTGCGTTCCTGCCTGCTCCTGCCTGGAGCAGGAGCTGCTGCCCTCTCCTGCTCCCGCGCAGAAATGCTGCTGGGTGTCCCGGCAGTCCTGCCCTGGCTCTGGGATGTGCTTTTCTCCTCCAGGATCCTGGGTCCAGCATCTGTCCCCGCTACCGCACTCCCCATTTTAAATCCTCCCCTGCTTGGAGCACCCTCCGTGCGGAGGCTGCGGCGTTGCTGCTGGACCAGGGGCCGTGCAGGAGGGGGCTGGCAGCTCCCCTGGGTCATGCATTGGCATGAAGCTTGCAGGTGTCACTGAAAGGTGCTGGGCTCTCCCCAGCCTGTTGATGAGCATCAGCCCTGGAAGAGCTGAGGGGAACTCAGCCCCCAGCGCAAGAGCCTGCAGCCTCAGCTGGCAGAGCGGGGACAGGTCATGGACGCGGCTGTGGCAGCAGTCCCCCGCAGGCACGGGGCAAGGAGCAACCACCCCAGGCGTGGGCACTGCCAGCTCGGTGCAGGCTGGAGCCTCCGTGTCCCTGCGCCAGCCCCAGCCCCCCCGCCCCCCTCTCCCCGCTCTGGTTGCATCCGTCCTCGCAGCCCGGACCACCTGGGATGTGTCGGCTGGAGTGCGATGGGGGGGTCTCCGCTGGTCAACATCTGCCCAGATGGTCTTGGCCATGGGGGGTGGCCGAGGATGTAGAAGACTCCACCGCTGACGTCCACGTACAGCCGATGTCCAAGCCCTCTCCCCTCATGGTGAAGCCCAGAGCTCCTCAGCCTCGTGGGGATGGCTTCTTCTCCTAATAAAGCAGAGGCGGATGGTTAATGACTGCTCCTGGGGCTTGGATTTCAGAGGTCTTTGTTATCTGGGTGCTTGTAACCCAATCTCCCAGGCTTGGCTTCCTGGCAGCAGATCTGATAGCGTGCCTGTCCCTGAAAGCCGAGCCCCTTCCCACTACCACAGCCACCAGCAGCCACTGCGACCTGGCTGGGGAGCTGCTGGCAGCTCAGGCCCCTGATGCTCCCCACGGGACTGCTGCAGCCCCCCGGGACGGCGCAGCCCTTCGGCCACCTTCCCTGAGGCCCTGGGGGGACAGGTAGGGATGGGGGACAGGGGAGGAAGGCAGAGGGATGCCTGTGAGGTCACCTGTAGAGAGGGAGTGGGGTCTTGGTGGCCTCCAGGAGAGGTTTGCAAATAAGCTGGTGGGTACGAGAGCCCCCCTTAAGGTGAGGCTGCACTCCTCAACTCCTCCCTGTCAGCTTGCATGCCCATCCCCTGCTGCTGTCTGCTGTGCCATGGCAACCTGGCACAGCCCGGGGCTGGCGAGAAGCAGGGCTGTGGCACTGCCTGGTCCTCTGGATGCTGGTCCCCTGCCCACCCAGTTGACACACTCCTGCTTACCCCATATTCTCCACCAACCCAGACCCATGGAACATGTAAGGGGCATTTGGCAGAGATGGAGGGTGACACCAGCGAAAATGCATCCTCCCGCCTTGGATTCAGGCAGAGCCATCTGTAGTGGCGGGGTCCTGCAGGCAGGGATGTTGGGTGGGGAGTGTGATGCCCCTGGGAACTCACCCCACGGATCTGGTCCCCATATCTCCCACGCATCAGATGCACTCAGAGGTGACTTTCCACACCCGGGCCGTGGGTCTGATGGCTTCTCTCGTCCTCCTCTCCCCAGCATGTCCCAGGCTGGTGGCAGCCCCCGGGCAGAGGATGCGGGGCTGTGTGTCGGGGTACACTCGCGCACCCCAAGCCGGGGCAGCCAGCGGGTTGAGTGCATCATCTGCTACTCCTCCTATGACCTGTGCGGCCGGCTGCCGCGCCGGCTCTACTGTGGCCATACCTTCTGCCAAGCCTGCCTGAAACGCCTCGACGCTGTCGCCAATGAGCAGCGCTGGATCCCCTGCCCACAGTGCCGCCAAAACACGCCCACGCCACGCGGCGGCGTTGCCATGCTCGACCTCGACCTGACCACCTTCCTTGCTGTCAAGGCTGACAAGGAGCATCCTCGGGTGGCCGGCAGGTCCCAGCCCGACCCGGCCACCAAGGGCTCGTGCAAAGAGAAGGCGGTGACCCAGCAGCCGGTGGGGCTGTGCCAAGACACGGTGCCTGCGGCGCCGTTCCCCCGACGCAGCTGCTGCCGGCCGTGCCTTTGCTGCGGGGTGACGGCATCCTTCGAAAGCTGAGCAAGAGGAGGGGGCTGCTGGTGGTGTGTGGGCAGCTGAGCTCCAGGGGTGCAGTCTGGGACCATTTTTGGGATGCCATGCCATGCGCCAGACCCTCAAGTGGACAGTAGCCATGGGGCTGTGCTGGCAGCCTGGGAAGGGCTTCAGCTCGCTCAGGGCTTGCTATCCATCCTGATGGAATTTGGGGTGCAGTGGGCGGGGGATGATAATGCCCCCACCTCCTCATCCTGCCCACCCGCACCTCTGACAACTCAGAAACCTGGTCCATCCATCATGGATGTCCCCTGGTCCCTGGCCCAGGGCTTGCTCATGCCCGGCTTCTCCACGCCTGTGGCTCTGCAGAAGGGACACCCCCGCCAAGTACCTCGCAGGCAGGGCACACGAGAGCTTGGCACAGCACAGCAGCACCCCAGTGCTCTGGTGAGCGTGTGGCACCCTGAAAGCTTCACGCCTATTAAACAACACTGTTGGCCCTGCTGGGCTGCATGTCTTGGTCATATTTGTCAGTAAGCCTCGGGCTAGCCCAGGGAGAGCCCTGCCTGCAGTCGGGGTGGGACGGGGAGAACTGACCTGCCCTGCTGGATTGCTTTCCTTTAAGTGTTTGCTCTGTTGGCCATCCGCATGAGAAATTTGGGCACTGGGGTAGCTGGACAGTTGAAATTGCAAATGACAGAACCCGTGGGAGCTCCTGCTTTGCCTTGTGCTCTATGGCTTGTGCCAGGTTTGGTTTTCCTGCCTGACCCTCTCCTCACCTCCCTACCTGCACACCTGCACACAGCCTGTACAGAAGCCCCTCTGCTGTTTTTCCAGGTCATGTCTTTGCATGGCTTTCCCTGCCAGACTCCAAACAGGGTGTGCAAGGATGAGAACCCAGCCAGTGTGGGTTTAACAAAGGCCAAATGAGGAAGGACTGGGGGGCACCAGGGTGATGTTAATACAGTTCGTGGGCAGGACTTGGAATTGCCTGTTCAGGTCTTGAAGTCTTTCCTCAGAACACATTGTCTGCATATGTTTTTCACGTGGTTTATGACCTCTTGCAGCATCCTAGCATCAGGCATCACTGGCTGTGCCTTGGGGCTGAGCAGGGGACCCCAGTCTGTACCTGCCTGGGACCAGCAGTGACCTCATGTCCCCCGGGCAGTCCTGGTGCTTGGCTGTCCTCTGCACTGGGTGCCAGGGCTGCAGCCAGAGGAGTCCAGCACCCATCCTGTGCACAGCACCCACACCATTCACAGCACCACACTGTACACAGCACCCACACCACGCACCAGCGCCCATGCACAATTCTGCCACTTGGTGTCACCTGCTATAAAAAAGTCAGAGCTCTGAGATGTGCCCAGCAGAGCCCAACCTGGGGAGCTCACGCCAAGGGAGCAGGGCCACCAGGGATGTCCCAGGGCAGAGGTGCCAAGGGGGGGACAGCAGAAACTTGGTGTGGTTTAGAGACTCCATGGGGTGGGCATCTGCCTGCCTCGGATCTTTAATTACATGGAAACATGCAATCAGTTAAAGCCTTCAAGGATGGGGTAAAAGCTGACATAGAGTCCTAAAGCACCTTCCCCTCCATTTTCGTGTGCACCCCTAGGGCTGCCCAGGGGCTCACTCTTCCCAAATACTTCATGGGTGGGTGGTCGGAAGACTGTGTTGGGCCCACGCTGGCTCCGGGCACGGCTCCATACAAAAGTGCCAGCAGGACTCTGCGCTCAGCCCAGTGCCCTGGGTCCCAGCTATTCAATGGTGAAGGGTGACAAAGACCCCTGGCTCCCTGTCCCTGTGCCCAGGTCTTTGCCTCCATGCTCCCACCCCTGCTCCACCGCATCCCCCCAGCACCAGAACGAAGCTGTGAAGCTTGACCCTTGCTGTGTGCCTCGGTGCACGTCCCTGCAGCTCCCAGCCAGTGGGAGTCTCTGAAGGGGTTTATCTGCCCCTCCATCACTTCATTGTGGGAACGATCTTGGCGTGCTGGCCAGGCACCCTGATTTATTCCCCTTGGCCAGAGCAGGGTTGGTGTTGAGCCCCATGCCTTGGGGGATTCCTCCATTGGTCAGCATGGCCCCCCCTGAACTGTCCTTGCACAGCGGATGCTCAGAGCAGCCTCCCCTGCTGCTGGCCCTGGGGGCAGGTTGTGCCATTCTGCGTGGACCCCAAAATCACAGGAGGAGGCATCGCAGGAGGGGAGCGGGGCACTGGTGGGTGCAGCCCTGGCTGGGGACAGGGACCTGGGCTCTTCCTGCATGGTGCTGAGTCCCCCCGGCTCCAGAGAAGGGGGCAGTGACAGAGTCTCATGCTCTGCTGAGCTCTGGCAGTGTGTGTGAAGGGGCAGCGGTGGCACTGCTGGCGTAGAGGAGCCCAAAGGGTCACCAGCCTCCGGTTGCAGCAGGGTGCAGCCGATGTATGCAAACCAGGAGCGGGGCCAGGCACAACTAGTGCCCGCCCTGCACATGGGCAGTGTCCCCAGCAGGCAGGACACTGGGGACATCTCTCCTACCATGTGCCACGGGGGTGTGCAGCAGGCTGACAGCAAAGGGCTGGCGGAGGAGCTGAGGTGGGTTTGCAGCCTCCTGGGCTCTCTGAGCACAAAAAACCTGGAAATGGCCTTGCGTTTAATAGTTGTGAGTCTTTTTCAACGAATTTTGCTCTTCTCACCTGATCCCAGGTAGCCACAGGCAGCGGGCAATACAAGCCCTGGGGAGGAACAGCATTTTGGGAAGGGGCTCCCTAGAATTCCAGGTCCCCATATAACCCACAACTGCTGGTGGGATGAGCTGGTGCTGCAGCTCTGTGTGGCTGTGGGTTAGTGCCCTGCTTCGGGCCTGGGCTGGGCTGGAGGATTCCTCTGAATTATTTCCAGATGGGGATTAATGCATCAAACCGAGTTTGCTGCAGGATAGATAAACAAACCAAAGCTCATCTGGATGCTATTAATAAACTGCTTGCCTGCTGCTTCTGCCCCAGATTTGGGAACATCCCAGTCCTGGCCTGGGGTGCAAGCACGCTCTCTCTGCCTTGCTGCTCTCCCAGTCCTTTGGCTGTAGGGCAGAGGCATCAGGGATTCCTACGGGACTGTGATTGCCAGGGTCCCAAACAGGACAGGAGCTGTGAGGGTGTGAGTGGGGGACAGTGCCTCTGCTCTGTGTCCCCACTCCGGGCCGCAGGTGGGATGAGGTGCTGCCAGCAATGTCCCCTGGTGTGCACTGAGCTCTGCCAGGGACAGTGGGCACTGGGAAGTGACACTTCTCCCCTCCAGCCTTCTGCTGCAGGGCTTCAGGCAGCTTTGAAACCGGAGCAAGTGTAAACAGGGTGGAGACAGACTTTGAGCCCTCTCAAACCCATGCTGCTGTGCCAGGGCAAGGGTAAACAAGTTTTGGGCAACTGCAGCCCAGCAAGGTCACCTTCCTCATGCCTTCTCCTGTAGGGGCTCCTGGGCGTCCCTCAGTGTACATGCAGATGGGTGATCCTGGTGGGGAGGAGGAGTGTGGCCCATGGGCCTCACATCCCAACCCTCCTCAATTTGGCATGGCTTGTGGCCTCCCATCAGGGACAAACAGACCCCAGGCAAGGGCTGGGCTCGGTGAGGAGGCCCGTGGCTCCCAGCAGTGCTCCCCATTGAGGACATCTGGGCATGGTGGGTCAGCACAGAAGATGGGGTTAGACCTGCTGATGATATGATTTAAGCTTTGTCCCACCCCAGTCAGCCATGGGGGCCCCGGGGTCCATGCACCCATGCACATGGCTGGTAAAGCAGCACACTCACGGGGGATGCCCCATGGGGAAGCTGGAGGCCAAGAGATGGGTCTGGTTTTGCTTTTTTCCAGCTCTCCAGCCTTCAGCACACACAAGCAGTTAATCTCAGGCCACGCAGAGCTGGCTGCTTACCTGGCTGGAGCAGTGCCTGGCAGAGGGAGGGACAAGGGCACGGCTCTGCACCTTGCCAGGGCAGGCATCACTGCAAAAATATTTGCTGAAAAAAGTGCAGCTCCACCCCAAAGAAAACTGAGGCTGGGAGTGCAACCCGCTCTGGGTTTGCAGACGGAGGGTGGCGGTGAGCTGGGGAATGTGTGTGGCTGCAGGGAGCCGAGCAGCCGGACACTGCCCAGCACCCCTACTCAGCACCACCGGGCTCACCCGAGGGTGCCAGGCGGAGACGGGCAGCTGGGCGAGGCAACGGGCGCTGGGGATCCTGTCCGGGGGGGAATCCTGGCGCCGGAGATCGGGGAGCCCTCGCCACCTCGGTGGGCAGCCATGGGTTGCCGGGGGGGCCCCAGCACTGTGCTGGCCTGCCTGCTTCTCCTGCGGCCGCTGGCCTCGCCAGCCTGCCCCACCGCCTGCCGCTGCTCCTCGGGGGAGGCAGACTGCAGCAAGCACGCGCTCCGCGAGGTGCCGCAGAGCCTGTCGACCAACACCAGCGCCCTGTGGCTTGGCTACAACTTCATCGCGGTGCTGGAGCCCCGCTCCTTCCCTCCCTTGCCGGGGCTGCTGCTGCTCAGCCTGACCCACAACCATCTGGGGCTGATCCACAGCCAGGCGCTGGTGGGGCTCGGGGCGCTGCAGGAGCTGGACCTCAGCAACAACTACTTAACCGTGCTGAGCCCCGAAACCTTCCTGCCCCTCACCAGTCTGGCCACGCTCAACCTGGGCAGCAACAGGCTGGGGGAGCTGGAGCCTGGGGTGCTGCGTGCCCTGCCCCAGCTCCGAGCCCTCTTCCTGCAGGACAACCCCTGGGTGTGCAGCTGCGGCATCCTGCCCCTCTGGCGCTGGCTCAGCCACAACAGGGAAAAAGTGCGAGGTGAGTGCCCGGAGGACTGTGTCCCCCAGCCCCGCACCCACTCCACGCTGGCAGGTCATGCCGTCAGGGCTGAGGCAGCACCAGCACCCTGGTTGTCATCCAGCCGTGGGCTTGCGTGGTCGGTGCCCGTGGGGGGTACCGCAAGGTTCCCCAGGACCCATTCTCAAGCCGTGGCAGCTCCTGCGTCTGCTTGGGTGGAGGCGTCCCTGGGTCTGGTGCCTGGTGCCCACCCTTCGTCCTTGGTCACCAGCAGGGATTGCCTGGAGACGAGGGCTGGGCAATGTCCCAGCGCTGTCCCCAGCAGTGGCACCGGTCCTGCCACATTGAGGGCAAGGTGTGCTGAGCAATGGGCACCTGAGGGGGCAAGAAGAGCCTGTGTGTCAGGGGGGGCAACACTGCTAACCCAGCCAGGACTCAGTGCCTTCAGCCCCTTCCCCAGTGCCTTCACGAACATGGGTCTGATCCTGCATTTCTTCCCCTGTGAACCTTGGTGAGAGGCAGCTGTTCCAGCAAGGTCTCTCCCTCCGCTGCCCCCCACTCCTGCTTGCTTCCAGCCTGGGTGCGCTCTGGTGTTCTGGCTGAGACCTTCTGTGGCACCTCCAGGCTGGCTGCTCACTGTTCCCCATATCTGTCCCCTGGGAACCAGGCCCACCACCTTGCCTGCCCCAACTACCATCCTGCCCCAAACCTATTTTCCAGTGCCCCCTCCAGCACTGGGCCCACCTCCCCATCCCACCCCACTCCCCAGGGTGCAGGACATAGATGAGTCCTGAACCCTCACTGCTTCCCTTCTTTGCACCCTGCGCTGGGACATCTTGGTCAGCCTGGTCCTTGTCCTCATGTCCTGGTCCCGTCTGTCCCATACAGATCTGCCATCCCCTCTGTCCTTGACACCTGCCTTGTCCCAGCTGCCCAATGTGCCCATCAGCACTGCTTTTCTCTTCCAGAGAAGAGTTTGGTCCTCTGCAGAGTTCCGGAGCAGCTGAACAAGTATCCAATAATGGCCTTCGGGAATGAGTCCTTCAAGCAATGTCAGGAGACCTCACTGTCTGCCCAGCACTACATTGTCTTCTTGATCATTGGACCATTCTCCTTCATGGCCAGCATCTTATTCTGCACCTTTATGGGCTCCACGATAGTGGTTTATCACAACCTGCGCAGGGAACCCCACTTCTGGAGGAGACCCCACATCTGCAGGGGCTGCTGAGGCAGGGTAACCAGGCTTTAGCCCTAGGCAGGCTGTAGTCCATGCTCTTCTCCAGATGTCTGCACCCCTCTGTTGCAAACATTTCTATGTGGACCAGTGAGAGGATGCTCTGTTCCTGGAAATCACTTTTCTTCCTCCTCCCAGAGTCCTCCAAGATGATGCCAAGCTCCCTCTGCCCCACTGCTGGGGGGGACAACCTCCAGCTCAGCCCCACTGCAGGGCACGGTCAGACTGCAGATGCTCTCAGTGTTTCAGGAGGCTCCCCCAGGCCACTCTCAGATCTGCACATCCCCTTCCTAGGAGTGGGCAGGTGATCCTCCTCCTCCAGCTCATCCTGTTCTGCCCCTTCTTCTGCCCAGGGCCTTAGTGTGCATCTCAGGATGCACCATATGCCTCTGTGTGTTTTTTTGGTGCACCCCGGGAGTCTCTGTTTGCCTTCCAGTGCAGCCCAGAGCCTCTGCGTGCCTTTGAGGTTGTCCCAAAGCCTTCCTTGGGCCTTTTGGTGCCCCCCGCACTCCCCATCAGCCATGCAGTGACCCCAGCAGCCTCAGCATGCTTTTCTGTTCCCTCAAGAGCCCTTGGCTTGGCTTTCCGTGCATCCAATTGCTGTCTGTTTGGCTTTCTGTCTCCTGACAGACATTGCTTTGCCTTTTGGTGTGCCCCAGAGCTTTCTGTGTGCCTTTTGACACACCTGAGGATCTCTGGATGTTTTGGGGCACTCCGGAGATTCCATGGGACTTTCAGAAATCCCCAGACCCCTCTGTATTCTGCTCAAGGTCAGGACAGGTTGCAAAATGTTTCTTTTGATAGTTTTTTTGTTTTGTTTTGTTTTGTTTTGTTTTGTTTTGTTTTGTTTCCCTTGAGACAGGGCTGCTGGTGCTGAGAAGGCTCAGCCAAGAACCAAGATCTAGGGTGGGACATTTAGAGTGAGGGTTGGAAAGAGACAAAGCCTTGAGCTCTCACTGATGTGGATCCGCAAAGGGGCTGCCAAAGGATGGGTGAGGCTGCACAGTGATTCCTCCCCCAGTAGCTTTTCCCCTAGGCTAAAGCTCATCCAAGGCGAAGGCCTACAGTTAGCTCAGTGATGGGAGTGGGGACAAAAAAGCCCATGTGAGTTTACAGCACAGAGCCTGCAGGCTTTGCTGCTGCCTCACCTCCTGTTGCCCACAAAAAGGCTGCCCCTGCATCTCCCTGCCCCGCCGCCTCCTGCTCTTCCCTGGGGAAACACTTCAACCCCTCGTTACATGGAAATGCTTAGTGAGTGTGCTGGGAGATGACCTGGAAGGAGCTGGAGTGTGCTCTAGAGGAAACCACAAGCTGGGTTAACAAAAGCATCTCTCAAGAAGGAGCCACAGCTCTTTCTGGCATGAGTTCTTAGAAATTGCAAGGCCATAAGAGCCAGAATGAGATCACTGTGACCACCGGTCTCCTGCTGTTAGCTCAATCTCTTGCCTGTGCAAGAGCTGTGGGACCAGCCAGGGATGTGGCAGGGGTCAGTGCATCCTTTGGCAAGCTCTTGGCAAGTGTTAAATAAATCATGCGGAGAATAAACCAAATGTCACCTCAGTCATGGCTTGCTCCCTTTTTTATTTTCAAGAGAGAAACCAGCCCAGCATGGTGCCCCACGGCTTGATTCCCACGTGGCTCTTCCTGCAGTGCCTCTCCCCAGCAGGGGATGTGAGGGCTGTGGGGAGCTGGTGGAAGAAGCAGATCCTCCAGTGCTACCAGCCCTGCACCCAGGACAGCTGCAGGACCTCTGCCAGGATCAGTCCCTTGCACTGCAACCCTAGCTCTCCCAGACCCTCTCTGGTGACAGCGCTCAGTCCTTCCCAAGAAGGCCTGGGCTTCCCATTTGGAGCTAGGACCTCACTCATCATCCTGAATGGCCACCTGAGCCCTGCTCCCCCTCCCAGATCGTCCTGAGGCCGAGACCCCCATGGAGGCTGGGCTGGGGATCTCAGCACATGGGGAGCATGCTGTGAATGAGTGATGTTGCTTCAGTTCCCCCCAGGGGAGCTGCTTCACCGTTTTGCAGATCCCTCCGGGAACCTCCCCACAGATGGGTGGATGTGCGGGGACTTCCCCAGATGCCTTCATCCCTGCAGTTGGTCCTGTGTTCCCAAAGGCCAGCCCCAGGAGCCGGGGAGCACAGCAGCGGCAGGGGACCATTTTCCCCTGGATGGAAGTGGGTGAGGGTGAGAGCCATCAGGCATGGTGCTGGCATTTGGACAGTTTCAGACTCTTCCCCCCCTGCCCCCCCCCCCCCTTGCCAGGCCTGTCTCCCCACACTGGCCGTTCAGGTTGTCCATCAGCCTGGCATCCTGAAGCGGTGATGCCCCTTCCCTCCTAGTCTTCCCTGCAGCTCCTGGCCTTTGTCCCTGCCGGCTTCTCCGTCCCTCCTCATCCCTCCACCTTTTACTGTTTGCAAACCCTGCAGCAGTGCTGGGTGAGGCTCTGATTCAGCACAGGGCTCTCTGCCAGCTTTGCCAGAAGGCAGAGACAGAAAGAGGCACACAGCACTGGAATAAACCACTTCATGATCCAGTCTAGACTTTACTGAGCTCTTGCAAAAACTTGGTATTAATGTTACATTGACGTATAAAGTAGAATGGGTCCAATTTCTCAGCTGGAGCGAGATGAACTTGATGGAGCCACTGTAGTCAGTGGGACGATGCTCAGAGACCTCAGCTGCCGTCTGAAAATCCTGTCTGCAAAGGTTGCTGACCCTCAGAGGGAAGCCCCATCTGCTTGGCTGGGGCAAGGAAAAGGCAGTTCATGCTGCTGGGGCTTGATACCACGTTGCCAGTGGGTTTTCTGCCTTTGCAGGAGGCGAGATGCGATGTTGCCCGTGCGTGTGCAGTAGCTGCTCATCACCAGCCTGGCTGGTGCCAGATGCTTCCCTGACGCTGGTGCCTCCGCACTCGCTCACAGCACCCATGGGGACGGTGCTGAGGGATGCTGGCACATGGGCACGGGTGCTTGAGAGGAGGAAGGTGGGGGGAGGAACGGCGTCAGTCCGTGTTTTTTGGTTCCCTTCGCCTGAGCTGGGATCTGGTCTCCACGTCTCCAGATTCAGGCAGATGCAGCCACATGAGCTGGGGCTTCAGGGCTGCTGCGGGAGCTGCTGGCAAGCTTGAACTGCAGGTGAGCATGGCAGGGAAGCTGCCAGTGCCTGCTGGGGTGACATGACTGGCCAGCAACATCTCTCCTTGCATCGCTGGTGCCGAGACAGCACGGCTAAAGGTCCATGCAACCATCCAGAGCCATTCCCTGGGGAGATGTTCCTGGTCAGGAGAGCCATGGTGTGTGAGCTACATGCTGGCCACGGCCAGGTCCTGTAGATGCCTTCTGTGCAGGAGAGGTGGGGAGCCAGGATCTTGGCTGACAGCTTGTTACAAGCTCCAGGATACCACATTTAGCACAGAAGTGTGGGCTGGCAGGGCTGGGAGCACTCCTGCTGCAAACAGACCACGTACAGGAGCCAAGTCATAGCCACAGGCTGATGGGAGGGAGGAACAGGGGGATCATCCTCTGCGAGGAGCAGAGCACGTATCTTCCAGCCCCTGCTGCAGGGGTCACTTGGCACAGCAGGAACACGTGCCCAACCTGCCAAACCGTGACGGTTGCTCCAGCCGCTCGGGACCATGATCACTTCACACGGGAGCCCTCCAGGGTGGTGGGAGACGTGGAACACGCATCTGAGGGGCCGTGCGTGTGCTGAGAAGCCTGAAGCCTGCAAAGTGAAGCACATGTTTGTAGTGTGGCACCAGTTCTTCCCCGATGCTGCGGGAGAGCAGGCACCACGTGCCTTTCAAAGTCCCTTCCCCTTGCACATAGCCAATCGGTGGCAATACTGATTATCAACAGCACTGGTTGGAAGCAATTATCTCTGTACAGTGAAGTCCAAACCATGTCCTGGTTCTGCTGTGCATTCTGGGGCACGAGCATGGCAGCAGGCCTAGGAAGGGAGGGAGATATACAATGAAGTCACTGTGTATGGATGAAGGATGCTTTCCTCCCATCTCACCCAGAAGAACCCATCAGTGTCCCTTGAAAGGCAGTCCTGGCTGTGCCTTCCTACTGTGTTGGGCAAGGACTGATGGCCCTCGGGGAGAAGGTCACACCACAGTGCTGACTGAGGGATCGGAGAGGTTGAGCTGGCCAGTGATGTCGGTGGGATGATATTGCTGCAACACACAAATACACAGACAAGGAGAAAGAGGTGTTAGGCAGTTCTGGCACTTGCCCCCGCCTCTACTTACATCCCATGTGTCCCTACAGGATATCTCTTGGGGGTGATGCAACGGCCTGAAACCTGCTGCTGGCTGAGGTGCCCTTCCCAATGCAAGCCAAGCTTGTGCAGAGGTCGTCGCAGACACTCTCCAAGCACCCTGCAGCTGGGCAGGGAGGACACCCAGGAGCGCGGCGCAGCTTCTGCAGAGCGTGGCAGCCACGTCACCTGCTGAGCGAGCCCCTCTCTGCTCTGGGAGAGCTACAAAACAAAGCCTGTGACTCATCAGCCCAGTCCACAGCTGAACCTGTGTTTGGAGGGTCTGGCTGGGTTTCTGCATCTCTCTGGTGCCAGATCAAGCTGTGCTTTGAGGCCAGGGCGTTTCACCTCCTTGCTTGAACGACTCTGCTTTGACTATCCTTTCATGCAGGTGAGGAGCTGTGTGGTGTGGTTGACTTGCGATCGTCAATTTCTAATGTGAAAATACAGCCTGTGTTGGGGATGTGGCCTGGATTTGGGGTTCTGCGCTCCTTGAGGATGGGGAAGCTTGGAAAATGCTTCCTGGGAGAGACATCCCTAGCCGCAGCCCCACCAGCAAACAAATGGGGAGTGCAGAAATACCCTTCAATGGACAAGAAAAAAAAGTCCTTCCTCCTCAGGCAGGGATTTACAACTGGACGGTCATATTCTCCCTTCCTCCTTCCATACTCCCTTTCTCTCCCAGTTCCACTCTCTTAACTCCAAACCCTGAACTGGAAGCCCTGTCCAGCCCTGCTGCGAGAGCGGGTGGCACGGAGCATCTCGTTCTGCTGTCTGGGGACATAAATCGGTGCTGGGGCAGGAAAGGGTCTCGGTGGGTCTCGTGTGCTGCAGCGCAGACCCTCGCCGGTGACATTGCCCGGCCCTTGCACCACACTACCCAGGAGGGCTGCCACTTTGCTCGGCTCCCGGGGGGGCTCCTCAGTGACAGGATTTCACCCGTCTTGCATTGGTCGGCGGTGACTGTGGCCCCCGCGGTGCCGCTGGTGGCTCTGGCACTGTGGCTACCCTGATTGGCTCTACACCCTGCCTCCTGCCACGGGGGAGGTCCGGGATCCCCCCAAGTGTTGCATGGGGTCCTCGGGGATGCCCTGCTCTGCCCAGTTTTGTGCTTCACCGGGACCCCTCGGTGGGGAGATGCTGGGGCAGGCGAGGGAGCCAGCATGGTCCCGTCTCTCTGGTACGCGTGCCGGGGAAGTGCTGACACCCAGGGAGCATCTCTCAGGATCATTCTTTCATTTAGGGGACTAGCTAAGATTAAAATGGAGCCTCTGAGAAATTTCTTGCTGTGGCCTTGCTTTGCTAAGTGGCAACACCTTGGCCGTCGCCCGTTTGCACAGAGAACAGCCGAGGCGACCCTGAAGTCACTCTGCCGCCCTGGGGGAAGCTTTCTGTGGCTATTCATGAGTCCACCAAAAAACGCCCCTCTCTCCCAAAAATGGGTGCAGCTTCCCCCTCCTTGCCAAAATTTAGGACTCCAACTAAATGCAATCTCTCCTTTCCATAGCAAAATGGCCGGGAGGCATGTGCTCACGGGATGGGGCTTGATTCCTGCAGGGAGGAGAGGCGACTGGGAAAGGGGAGAGGTTGGGTGACTCACTGGTGGAGAAGGAGGAACTCGAGATACAAAAAGGAACTGGCAGAAGAAAGGTCCTTTGTTAAATATCCTGCCTGATGCAAGCGAGGGGTGTGGGGTGGGTGGGAAAAAGCAGTGTGTGCATGTGAGTGTGCATGTGCCTTGGTGCACGTGTACGTGTGGCTGATGTGGTGGAAAGCTGGAGGTCTAGCAGGGCAGGCTGGGGCGTTCTGGCCTCTCTGCACAGCTCCGGGGGTGGGAAACGTTAAAATAACCAAGCAAAGTGGGGAATCTGGCCAGAAAAATTAAAATACAAGAGCATGGCTTTTGATTTGAAAGCATATCTCCTCCAATCACAGAGTTATCACAGGGTAACATTCTCATTTACTTTTTTTTTTTTTTTGTGTAGAATTCATGCATGCAATTTTTAATAAGAAAAACTGGAAAAAAAAAAAAAAGGAAAAGAAAAAAAAAAGCAAGAAAACTGTCATATCAAAACTATGTTAAAGTAGAACTAATGCTAGAAGCACATATCAGTAATTTAGGGTAAATTATGTTACAGGGATGGTGCAATTATCCCCAAACCAAACATTATAAAGCCAAGAAATTAATTAATATTAACTGTAGAAGAGACTCAAACATGTTAAGGTATGGAAGTGAAGTGAAGGCACCAAAAACTTTAAATGACAACCAGGAAGAAAATATAGACAAGAACTTAAT